TTTTTTCCTGAAGGTCTCGTTTGGGTTGTCAAATAATTGCAAAACCTGAACTCGAGGGACTTCGTTTAGCACTTCCTTCAGCCACACGAAATTTTGCTGTCGATGGACATAAACCGAAACCTCATTGAACAATTTCTTTTGCAGGGATAGAAAAATGAGAAAAAAAGTTTTTAGTATAGGTACATTTTTTTTTATCGGTTAGTATAGGTACATTTTTGTTTTGCCTGCTGATTGGCAAGCCGAATATTATCGGATCGTATGTAATCTCATCAATGAATTGTGTTGCTATTTGTGTAAACAAGACAAATGACTATTTTTGGTTACTTGCATTCTTGGTTTTTCATTGAGGTTAATATGACTGATTGGCTATTCATTTTGTTGTTTGGTGATTTTGGGTTTAAGATTTAGCAATAATTGAAAAAAAAAATAAAAAAATCTAATACTGTGTTCTTGGAGTCTAATTTTTTTTTCTAATGAAATGCTAAGAGCTGGTGGTTATATATAATCATGTTGTAGGTTTTTCGTCAAGGTGAAAAAAAGCTCATAACATCCCGACATTTCTAGATGTTACAATTTATTTGTGACACAAACTTTTTTTCTTCTTACAAATATCGTACCCTTTTGATTTCTTTATTAGTTTTTCTTTTTGTTCTTTTAATACAAAAAAAATAAAATAAAATACGGAAGGCAAATATTTTTCACGGAGAAGATTAATTTGTTATGGAGTCATGAGATGACTCGATTTATGAAGTCATTCACACTTATTCATCAAGTGATTAATTACTCATTGCTCCATAGAATTCACTTGACTGTATTTTCCGTTTTTCACACTCATTTCCCGCTAATTTCGCCGACTCCAATTTTTCACTATAAAGTGCAGTGCATGTACTTCACTCGCTGCATTTCTCACCCAAACCACAATACACCACCGGAGGAGAAGATGAAAGCGATTGGCACCAGCTATTGAAAATTTATCATCCATCGGAGTGTAGCGGTTGCAGTCTTCCAACGCTCGCCGAGATTTCGATTTCAGGCGATGAAAATGAAAATCAACAAAGCCGTCGATCTAAGCTCCATCTCCGTTCTTCCTCCTCAATCGAGGTTCGATTTCTTCTCCAGTGCTCTCTCTCTCTCTCTCTCTCTCTCTCCCTCTCTCTGTCTGTGTGTGTATGATGGCGAGATGTAAGAGTTTGCTGCAGATTCACGCGCGCGCGCGCGCGCACACACACACAGATGTTATGACTTGTTTGATTGTGAATTAGCACAGATGGATAGGCACAGTGCAATTAGATTTGCTGGTTTTTAGTTTTAGTCGCTTTATTTGTAAAACATTGATGCATAGTTACGTGAAGAATGCAGTGAAAAATTCTCCAACTATGAACTCAGGGAGTGTTGAAAACGGTGAATCTGTGGCTATTTTACTGGCAACAATGGTGTTGTTGCTGGAATTAGTTGCTGACGAATCTTTTTTTGTGGTACTGAGTCATGATTTTTCTTCTTGTATGCGTTCACGTGTTTTTGGTGGTGAATCAACAAGGAGGTCGAGTGTGGTCACTGGTGGGCTAGAGTCTTCTTCAACCTATGGGAGACGGCAAACAGCACCACAGCTTCGGCCACAACATTCACAGCTGACACTTTCACAGGGAGTTTCATCTCAGCATGGCATCTTCTCTCAGTTTTCACAGAATTCACAGGACGAAATCCTTACGGCTGAGGTAGTTAATGTTTACTATATATATGCATGCATTTGTAGGTAACTGAAGTACTCAAAGTTTTAGATGTGGAATGGTGTTGAACTGTTATAGAACATTTTGTTCAGAAGAAGAAATTGTATGTGTCCGTGATTGTTCTTATACTTCATTATATGCATGTACTTCATCTAAGACTAGAGAAAGTGATCAATGACACTCTCTTTCACTGGAAAATGTTGTGGATATTAATATATAATTTGATCAATTACCTTGTCTTCTATTCCTTTTGCTTTTGGATGGTATGGTTCATTGCGTATTGCTGTTAATTTACAACATTTTGGAAGTTTTATAATTATCTGAAATGATATACCAGTGAATTTTACCATCAATATGAGAACGAGATGATTCCCAGTGGCATTATCATTTAACTGTAATGAAAATCTATTTTCGCATACACACATACAGTTTAGGATAAGACTTCCAGGAGATATTACCAATTACTTCTTTTATAAATGGTTATGCAGTTTATTGAGAATGATTGGAATTATGTAAATTAGTTGATCAGTCGCATATTTAATATATTGTAGACTGGTTTTTCATGTCCTACAGAATTAGACTATTCTTTCGACTAAATGTACCAAAACCGAGAGAAAAAAAAAATATATTGGGGATGAAGCTTATTTTATTCATTTAACTTCGACTTTCTTAGTTTGATCACCCTGGCCTTCTTAAAGTGCGTCTAACTTCCAAAAAACATTTGTAGAAATTTGGTTATCAAGAAAGAGAGAATTCAGTAAGGAGGTCATCTTGCCAGCCTCCAGTCAGTCACACTAGAGAGGACAGTCAAATGGCCTCTAGAACTTCCAATAATCTGATGCACAGGTGGTCTGGTCAAGAATACAAAAGTAAGATTCACAATTGATGGAGAATGCAGCTACTTATCCTTGGTTTGTTTGTTTGTTAATTTAGCCTGAAGGTGGACTATTCATCATTCTAATTATTCTATAAGTGTTCTAGTAGTTATACCTGGAGCTGTACATGTTTTCTCCCAAGTGAAACTGTGGTTCCTGTTGTTCCATTTTTTTATTCTTAAAAAAAGCTATCATGATATTTCTCATGTTATTGAAGTTAAGACTTTCAACTTCAGACTTCTTATTTTGGACTAGCAGGTCAGAGTAGTGAAGAACTTGAGCACAGAATTGGAGTGATGGAAACGTCATTAAGCAGGCTTCGTATGCTTTTGGACACTGTTCAGAGTGACATAATCCAAGTAAACAGGTGTACAAAGGAAGTATCATTAGAACGTGAGTATACCAGACCTCTGTCTTGAAAGTGAAAAACCAGATTAATCATGTTACTGAGAACTTTTTTGGCTCATTCCCCAAGTGCTTCACTTGGGATTAAATTTCAGAAATGGTGCTTTTCAGTTAATCATTATGTGAATTTTGTTAGCTTTTAGGTAATTCAATATTCACCACCGGTATTAGTTGATCTCACTCATGCTCTAAATGCCAAATATTGTAGTAATTTGCTACCAAATTGACGTAGTTTTTCCTTGATCAGTGAAAGCTGTGGAGCAGAAACTTAATGTCCAAGATGACTCACTGCAATTAATGGTGCAATTTTCTTTTCCAGCCCTTAAATTTCCTTACTATCCTGACATGCCCATGTCATTGAAGCCAATCAGCTATTTATCTATGGGATTTTAAGTCAATTATCTATAATTAACCAGAGCAAAGGACAAGAAGACATCAAAATGTGCCTGGATGTAGGCCTGCAATCCTTGTCTGATCAACTCAAGCAGAAAGTGAACCAAGAGAGTTTGGAGGCAATGATCTCACATATCTCAGCTTTATCAGACAAATTTGAGACTCTCATGGTGAAATTGCAAAATGACCTCCACATGAATTTCTGCAAAGAAATACAGGCATGTGTAAGTAAACATATTTGTCTTGGCTCATTGGAGGACAATGTTTGACTTTTATATCAAGTCAAACGTTTGTGTTGACTTCCATTAGAATTCATCTATGTTCAATTTTACTTGTAGGCAATATCGTGCAGCATGATGATTTCCGAACAAACACGAGCAACTGATTCCATTAATGGGCCTAAGGTACATTTCTGTACCACTGTACGAGATGGAGAACAACTAACATTAGAAAAATTCAGGCTTCTTGAATAACTTTTGAAGAAACCTTGATGTACTACTTATTTGTAGGTTGGCAGCCGTCATGCTTCTCATCAGGAAGTTCAGTATCCAAACAAGTATGTACTCAAGGCTTTCATTAACAGTCATTATATCTTAATTGCCATTATAACTCATCCCCTGATCAATAAAAAACCAAATTCATTCGTGAGGTTATGTAGGCTAACTTATGAAATATGTTTTGAGTTTCAATGATGTTTGAACACTCCTAGCGACATTAAGTGTTTCATGGAGGTCTGGTCCAAAATTATAAGTCATGTTCTGGTGCACAAAGTGCACAAGCTTCTACGCGTTCATTATATCCATCTTTTAAATGCTCAAGTTTAAAAGTTTACCCTCTTCTGTCCCACTTCATTTTTTTGAGCTTCTGCATTTTGTGCCACAGAAGATACTTGCTTCTTTCACCATCTGAGAACCATTTCCAGGATTTTTTATGTTCTTCTCCAACCAAAGCTATAGGCATGATGAGGGAAAATAACTCGAGTATTATCCTATCGAACAATAGGCATTTGCTCTCTCTACCCCTCTAACAGTGTTTCCACATGGGAGTAGATAAGAAAGTAAAACGTCACAGAGCCGAAAGTAAAATTCCAAAATAAATAGGGTGAAGAAAATGCATCGGACTATATGTGTAAAGTAGAAGCAAGCCTCGTTTGTCTGTATCTCTTGACAAGCGAAATTTGCCCTTTTAAAGGGGTTTCGGCCACCTATCCTATGCACTGCATTAAGGTCGTCAAAAAATCATGCTCTGATTACCTGCTTCAGTTCATAGCCTCTACACTTAAGTTTTATATTTACATGTCCTATGATCTGTTCTAATGTTGTTTTCCATTATTTATTATATTGACAGTCAGGTTTTTGTCGTATGTAGTGCAAAAGGTCACCTGAAAGAACAGCAAAAAGTCCTAGAGCTGAAGGCTGGAACGGGAGGCTGGATATCAGTCAAATCAGAACGAGCAACCCGGGCCATTGGAAATCTTACGAGGAACGACCAATTAAAAAAATCTCTGAATCAAATGGTAGCTCTTTAATTGTCTTACTTCTCCATGTGCATATTAGCTTAATTGGCACGAGAAGGAAACGTGATCATACTATAAGCCACGCACACTCAGATTTTGTTGAACAATGATATCTAATAATATTAAGCTATATATCCGAAAAAATTGTCCAAATCAAATATCAGCACGGCTGTCATCACATCTTAATTTCTTTTAAAATTACTGGCATTACATTTTAAATTTTAAAATCCGAACCACAACAATATAATAATGGATATTGTCGAGGGAACAGGAAAGCAAAGTTGTCATCGACTCGGATGAAGAAACTGATGAAGGTTTTTCCTGTTTGCTCAACGGAAACGGAACAGGTAAAAACTAGGCAAATTCCACACCTATCTTATGTTCTTCTTTATTGTATTTATTTTAGTAGAAAAATGAAAAGACACTTCCGGTTTCTAGAACAATCTTCTCTGATTTCTGCAAATGCACACATGATTGCGGATTGCCTAATTGAATTAGTGAGTTCATATGTTTAAACTGAAGGAAAAGAGTAGCTCTATTCAGTGTGCTTTCGTTTTATTTTTTAGTAATACTGTTTTCATGGTCAGATATGGATGAATACTCGGTGGAGGAAGCCATGCAAGAAACTGCACGTATTCTGAGGAAGGCAAGGAGGAGAAAGAGAAAACGTCGCGATACCATCGTTATAGACTAAAGGTATACTGTTGATATAATATCTTAACTAACATTTATCAGTAATCTGAATTCCCAGTCCAAATAATATTTCAATTCGGCTTCTAAATAAGTACACTGATCGATAGGCTCACAACCTGATATTTTTTCATCTTTTTTTTTTTTTTTTTTGTAATGTTTGTTCTTATGGACTAAATCGTACCATCTCTTGTCCTATCTCTTTCCTGATAGTATTTGCGTATCGACGAATTTACGAAAGCACCTAACCCAGACTTTGGATTTCACTTTTCTGAGTATGCTTTTCAGGGGATCAAATGAAAGTCCTGAATTTGACATAAAGTCTACCTCACTATTCCTTCTCAGGTGTGTTTTTTGTGTCTCAAATTTATGTCAGTTATGTGCTCCTCCTAATCCATCGGTTTATATTCCATTCATCTTTCTCGTATATATTGAGACATTGGACTACTTTTCTGCAAACAATGTAATTTGATTGTAACATATTCTGGTCATGGTAGAATAAACTGGTGCTATCCAACTTCCAGTGTGCTGATAAACAGTCATATTTTCTTAAAAAAATTGTATACTTATGTAATGAAATAGTATAGCTGCCTAACCATTAGACAAACTAACAAAAAAG